AGAAAAGAGAAATAATATAAATTTTTGGCACGCTCGCTTGTGCCCTCGCCCTTCGAGCTTAGAGGACACAGGATCTCCGTGCTAGCGCAGTCACTAGTGACTGACACAAAGTGTCACGTCACAACTCCCCCCTCCTTAAAATAGACCGAGGAGGTCACGACGAGCGTCATCCGCCACCTTTATGCTCGCTTCTTATTTATTGCCCTCGTCTCCGCAGTGTCACCCATACCAATCAGACTATGGAACAGAAAACGAAATTGAAGAAAACTGTACGAGTTTATTAACGCCCCTCAACTTCGCTCCCTCCCCTGCCGGCATAGCCGGGCCCTGGCCCCGACAGAAGAGTAGCGCCAAAACAAAACAGTACCTTATAGTACTTTCACATAACTCCAAAATCGAACACCACAACTCCAAACGCTAAAACGAAAATTTCCCAAAAACAGCTAGTAACGTCCCCTGGACGCTCTCGCTTCTCCCTGCTCCGATCGCCGCGTCCGGGTCTCAGTAGTCAGGGAATACCACAACACAACGTAATTCGGCACATTAATCTCCGCCGCTACGAGAAGGCACGAGGTTGAATCGTCATCCTCCGGATGCGCACAGTACAAAGGAAAAGGAAACAAAAGAGGGAAGCTCTTTCCGACCAGGTTCTATTAGGAGACCCTTGGTAATCGCCTTAATAAAGTAAGAAAAGGATTATTTGGAAAAAAAAAAAATAATTTTTATTATTAGCTTCTTTTACAAAACTGTGGCGCACGGCCCGGCAACACGACTCCTAGGAGGCCCGTTTTCCAAGATGGCCCTTACCCGGATGGTAAGGGCCGATGTCCTCCTAGTCGCTGCGGCAACGCGGACATGTCCGCAGCGTTTCTCCCGCCCGCCCGCATCCGAAGCAAAATTCCGAACTCTTGCGCGGTCGGGGGCACTCGGAATAGCGGTGGCCACTTCCCCCGCAATTCCAACACCCCCTAACGGCTGGGCGGGCGGTGCTGCTCTTCTGCCGGGGAGCTTCGTCCTGGGGACGGCCAGCCTGTTCTCCGCGGCTGCGGCTCCTCTTTTCTCCCCGGCCGCGGTTTCTCTCGGGGCTCCCGCGGGGCTGCGGGGGTGCCTCCGTCTGCGTGCCCCTCTCCGCTCGCCCGGGGTCGTGCTGCACGGCAGCGTCTTTCATGGAGGGCCATTCTTTGACTATGGCCCCCTGTGTGGAGTTCCGGTGTTCCCTAGCCGAGCGACAGAGGTCCCCCAGGGCTTCGAAAAACCCGGGGTATCTGTCGTCGACGAGGTCGTAGACCCCCCCGAACTCCCTCTCGAACTCCCTCTTCCTCTCCTCCATTGTCGGCAACTATAGGGGGGAAGGGTAAAGGAAATCTTTGAAATTCTGAGTGCTACTTAATCCGGAGAGATATACGGCTTCAAATCCTTTACGTGGATCTTTCCCGCAGAAGCACCATCTAGAGCAGCAAGCTCATACACAACCGGCGACAGAACGCCAATAACTCTAAAGGGTCCCTGAAACTTCGGTGCTAATTTGGCCGCTATTCCTTGAGTCGCGGACGACAATACATTCCGGCGTCTCCACACTAGATCGCCGACAACAAAAACCCGATCGCGCCTGCGACTATTATAATATTTAGCCTGCTTCTGGTAAGCGGCTTCTAGATTCTCAGTTACCCACTCGCGCAGTGATTGTAAATTCCTCATGCGCTCCGACCACTCGCGCACGTCGCGAGTCTCAACTTCAATTGTCGAATC